TATCACTGAAGGTGCAAAATAAAAACATAGTCATCCGATAGTACTCAGTTTTTACATCTTATACATGAATATGTGTAACATGCACTCAGCCGTGTATCCTTCACTGATGAAAACATAAGAATACGTACAGCCGTATAATTACAAAACATTTATTATCTGCGCAAAGGCTAATTTGTATCAGTATTCGTCGATAAATAATATCTGTTATCTTGGTATATGCCATTATGTTAATTGTGAATTAAGTGAAATAATTATTATACTCTTTATCAGTGCCTGTGAACTCCTTTCCTATGTAGTACAATTCAGTCAATACTGATAAAAATGTTGCTTGACCTTACAGTGTTTACTAAAACTTAATAAGATTAAATTTCAGTTATCATTAACGTTGTGTGATTTTACTACAAGTAATACTTTTTTATGGTTCATCAAAAGCCAATATCATATAATAAACACTGATCTGTTTAATAATCATGCATGCAAACTTCAATAACGCATTTTCAACATTTTTCAGCTTGTTCAGTCGGAAAATATAGGCTTTTAATTATTATATAGAAACTAAACTTCAGTACAGCTAAATATCAATTCATACAGTTGACCTTATTCTCATCTAGCAGTCTTATCGACCAGAAAAATGATTGTCAAATCTAAACCTGTTAATTAGCACTTAATACTACCTATATTTTAATTACCTGTCGAATATGGTGGTTATTGAGACGTTTAACTGTTTCGGGTTTGATTTTAAAACGTTCACATATTACGAATATGTACATAGAATTTGTTGGTGTCCCTCTAATATGTTTAACAAATAAATCAAATCATTTAAAAATATGTCACTAATAAGTTGAATAAATTACTTTACGGTAAAATGCATGGCATAAAGTAAACAGTAATGGTTTAATGAACTTTAATTATTTTTATATTTCAAATGTTAAAAGTGATTGTATTGTTATTATCAAATTAAATTGAAGATCAAAATAGTAATGTGGTATTACTGCATACTTACAAAATACTTGCTATCGACATTACGCAAAACAAACCTAACCGTACACTTCCCAAGCACAATAACTGACACTTGCATACACAGATAGGTTTTCTTGTCATAATTATATACAGGTCAATTACGTAGATTGTACAATGTATGGTTGAAAACAATTTTTATGTTGATGAATTCGCAAAATCACGCATCAGCCACGTATTTAACTATGGACTATTATATTCAAGAATACAATGTTTCGTTTATTGTCGATACCTTTTTAAAGCGAAATAAGATACAATCATTGTATTGAGAATTACTATTTGCAAATATCACCTATACTTAAATAATCTTCGATTCTTTCTCCTAAATTACTATTCCTTTACGAAGGCGTAAACTTTTATTCAGTCACCAATCCTTGACGTTTAGCGTGAATATTATATACCCTATACATGATCTTATAAGAATGATTTATTCATAAGTTTACACACATAGAAAGATCATTACAAGCTCAAACAATATGTCAAAATAGTTCAAGAAAACACTAAAATAGAAATCTATTTTCTCCTTGTACACTAAACACTTTATTGTATTCCAGTTTCAGTAATTACTATTATAAATACAAGTGTGTGTCATATTAAGCCAAAAGTTATCAGTTTTTCACAGGTTACTTTTAATAACGTGCATGGTCTTTCTCTTGTCACGACAACTGATGACTTCAGTCCCATGTTTACGTGATCCAAAAGAAATTTAATCCCACTTTTTATCACAATTTCTATACACAGCCAGGAGTATATTATGTTGGTCGATCAGAATTGATGTCTTTTTTCTAGAAGTTACAACTTTATGTCAAAGCGCGGAAGAAACAGACTGACAGAATCTTTTTAAAACATAAAACTTATATGTGAAAATGCGAATTTCGACATCCAGTCAAACTAGTTTATGCTACTTTGGTTTGAACTCATCAGATTACAAAAATGCACAATTTACAGATAATTAACAAATTATTACAGGCAATAAAATGTTTGTTCATTAACACATGAGCACACACTTTCAAAAACAGGTCAATCAATCACTTATTTTTTTTAAATTTTTTAATCACACCCAAAATATTTTCACCATTGGGGTTCATGAATCACAACAAATGTCCAATAATTGTCAGCCCAGAAAACAAACATTTGTTTGAATGGACGTTTTCATCTATTTAACACCATAAAGTGGCAAAAACTATTCCCCATGAATTTTAATATTAATTGGGAAAAAATAAAGAGGTAACGAATACTTTCCGATGTATTGTTAACAGAATAAACTTATCAAAAACGATGAGGATATTAGTCTCTTATGAATAAATTAATTTAAACTATGATAATAAAGATTTCACAATCAAATCTGAACTCACAGACAAAATCAAGTAGTCATTGTCTCAATTAGTGGACTAACTGTCTTCATAACCCCTGGAACATTTATGGTGTCCCTATAACAATAAAAAAGAATAAGTGAGACTTTCAATAGCACTATACTGTCTGTACCCACTTCGTAACTATGATTCTTTCTATAAACTTGATTATCCTCATACTTGCCACATCTTTACCCTTATACTGTTCGGTCAAGAGTAAATATATGTCAGTTTGTAAACACACAACACTAGAAGTGTATTGGCGCATTCAAATCAACCTGATTACAATTCAAAAATAAGGTGGTTCTATATTCACTTTTCTGAAGGAAAACAGTAAATCCTACATTAAGATTGATGTGGAGCTCAAATTCACGTTTTAGTTGATAATTCTGATATACTCGAAAGTCAGTATATTAAGAAGTAAATTAGATGCCATTTATGTATGTTAATATACAGAGCAAAACAATAACTATTTTTCGACATTTCATACAGATTGATGACTTTGTAAATGATGTTACACCTAGTACATACTGGGAATAATAGATTACAAATCTCCTGTAAACGTCATGACAGTTAAATTGACATCATGGTAAACGGTATTTAATTTCATGTGACTAGATAGATTTAGGAACGAGTCTTGCTTAATTTTGTGCTTTCTTTTATATCGATCAACACAAATCATTCAGGTTTGGCTTCAGTATCCAAGCAATTCATTCTTTACATTAATACTCGAGTAGACGTCTTACGAATCCTCCAGTAAAAGACGCTAAATTTGTCATCTTCAAGTTATATCAGATACACGATGAAAGTATATAAAAAATTGCATTTCAGATGGCAACATATATAATACTTCAATCTCCAATTTGGTTTGCGACGGAGATTAATGAAGCCAAAAATCTAAGCATAAAATAATGAGGGATTTCTTTTGTATGTTAAAATATACAAATTTCACTTTTCTAATCATGCACCTAATACGCCTCTACTTTTTTTCTTCCCACATATGATTTGTGTCAGAATCAGTTGAAAGTAGGTTTATTTGCCTTCACTAAAAGTGGAGAATTTTACGAGATAAAGAAATTAGCTTCGTGCCAACAGTGATATATTCGTTAATGTGAATGAAGAAACATCGCTATCCACCGAAGATTACACTCGTTAGATCTATACATAAAAACTGACCTGGAATATTCAGTACACAAGTTTCCAGATTGGTTAGAAAGAGAAACCTAATTCGCTCTTTATCCCCATGGACTAGATGAATATGTTACAATGACACAATAGATGACGAACTACTTCATCTTCGACAGATACTCATCAGAAATAGTTACCCGCCTAGATTTGTCGATAGAAATTTAACACCAAGATAACATCCTGAAAAAGTACTGACATTTCAAAAGAAAACTCTTTTTATGAGTATCGAATTTAAAGAAGATATGGCTGCCGAACTCTTGAATAAACAGATTTCAAAATCCCTGAATAAAACCATATGTTCAGCTAGGCTTCGTAACGTCTCCTCAAGCCGGCCCACTATTCACGGATGTGATGAGGATAAACTTTTGCTTTGGACCACATCAGTATGCGTCTATAAATTTACTTGCTCCTGTGGGTCAGATTACATTAACCGTTCAAAGCGATCCCTTTCCAAACGCATCTCAGAACACTACCCGTAGTGGCTTTTAAAAGGAGAATGCTAAACGATCACCAGTTCAATACAGGAGCATCTAACTAATGTTTTGTAATCTTAAACAGTAATCACTTACTATTATCCTTCAACAATTTCCTATGATTATTACCCAGTTATTATTATGACGTTTACGTTTTTCATTTTTCTTCATATCTGTCAAAGGGACAATTATCTTCCGTAATTCTGACCCGTAAATTATTTTCATAGACCTATTCTTCTCCAACCCCTTGATTATTACGCAACGTCAATTGAAATCTCGAATCACTTTGTGATGCAGTCTTTTCTATTTTTCTATGGATATATATTTACCAAACAACTGTAAATAAGAATATGCAGCTTGAGTAAATGATTTCATCGAAAAGAACATTTCCCTCACTGAATTCTATTTTTATATGACATGGCTTTTGTATTTGTTCAAATTGTGTTTTAAATTATCGTGCTACATCAAACTACATGTTGCTAAGCCATTAAACTTCGCTCAGGCAAAAGAGTCTGTATTCTGCTATTTCAAGTGAATTATAATCTCGTTCCAAGGGCTTGGGGAATTACGGCTATACAAAGCCTCCGAACCGTGATATTTATTGCAATCAATTTAATGTAATCAAAATGAAAACCCAGCAGGTATGAAAAATATTACTCTTATGCCAATTTATTATTTTCTGGTTGGCTCTTAGGGTGAGAGAAAAGAATACGGGAATGTGGGTGTATAGTCACGTGAATTATTTGGTGATTGGTTTAAACTCACAACTTGCATTGAATGTCTAACTGTGTCTATTAAGCACTTTGATATAGTCAGACCAGGTTTGGCCAATAGTAGATGAAATATCAGGTAGGCGTTTAAAGAGTCATACAAATTGCTTTGTGTATGAGGCTAAGTATATTTTGATCGGTATTATCAGTAATATTGTATTGACTACGCGTGCATGCAATTTGGGAAGTATTTTTAACCGATGTCTGCATACGATCCATTCAGTATTCATAATGGAGGTACTCATACTTTCAATGGGACAGAAACTATCAGTCGGATGGTGGTGGATGGAAATTATATTGATGGATCTTGGGAATTATCTGTTCGCGTTGAAGACATAAACACAAATGTTTCAGTACGTGTTTCGGGTGATCTGCCACTGGGTGGTTTGATGCATCTAATTGTCGAAAAAGTGAAGTTACAACAAAGTTGGTCAGATCATGCAATATGGTGGGTCGATAGAAATGTATGGCTTTTGCAGAGCCGGACAACATTGGATCAATATGGAATTCAGTCGGATGCTAGATTGGTGTTTCATCGTATGCATAACGATGTTCAAATAGTTTTACCCTCTTTAACTCCTCTAGTACTTCGTGTCAATTATGCTGCCCGGTTGTTTACTGTGGTTCGGGATATATGTAAAGAACTAAACATACGACATTCGGAGGAGTTATCTTTAACACTTCCTATCACTAAAAATATGCTTAAAACAAATTGCCCATTACCGACTATTCGTCCAGGCTTGCGACGTCCTGGTTTGCCCAATCCAAGAAATGATCAATCTTCTGTTAAATCGAAGTTCCCTTCACCTGCGTCTTCAATTTATCCTACAGTTGATGGACAAAAAATTAATCCGTATAACACATTGAATTCAAATGCTGGTACAATAATGCGATTTAAATCTGATAACTCGTTAGATCAAGAAAGACTTGATTTCGCTCGCTATGCTGACTGTTCATTGAGACGTTCTGCAAAAGCAGTGTTTGCCGATAGCTGGTTAATGAAACCCAAGAATTTAGTTCAAAAAGCACGGCTGAACAGTGGATGGTTAGACTCATCTCGGTCACTTCTAGAACAAGGGATTAAACCATCATCTTTGGAACCCGATAGTCATAGTCCATCTAGCCCTCCAACTTTATATCTGTGCTTCAAATATTTCACTTTCTACGATGTGATTTTGAAATATGACGCTGTTCGTATTCATCAGCTTTATGAACAAGCTCGGTGGTCTCTTCTGTCTGGCCAGTTTGATTGTACAGAGGATGAGATGGTTGTTTTTGCCGCCTATCAGCTGCAAGCCGAGTTACAGTCTGCTGCTGTCAATCAGCACTTATGTATCACAAACTTCCCAGATATGAATAATACAAATCCTTATTCAACTTTAGGTGCTTGTACAACTGTGAGTTCTAATTATGTAAATCGTAGTCCAGTTCATGCTACTTCGAGTCCCGACTTGGCAAAAAAGCACTATCCGCTTTATAATAGTGGTGGGTCAGTTTCACAGTTACCTCGCAATTTATCTCCAATCAGTTCAGCTTTGGTGGATGAAATACCGAGTAATGTACATAACGTAGGTGGTGTAGACGAAGTAGATGAACTCCTGTCAGAACTGGAACAATCGTGTGGAGTTGCCGACGAGTCTGAACCAGTATCACGTACTCTACAAAATGCGATTCGACCAACTGGCCATGATATGACGGATACTTCTGAAGTACCTAGTCTTGAAGGTTCGATTAAAGTATTCCGAGATCGCTCTCGCCTCCTAAAACGTTACAAAGCGTACTGGGCTGTTATTGTAGAAGCTCGTCTGTATTTATTCAAAAATAAAACACAAACAAAAGAATGCTTAGCTGAGTATTCACTTCGCGATTGTACAGTCAGTTTTGATGTGAGTGTTGCACATCAAAAATACATAATCAAACTATCAGTTCCTTCTATATTGGATCAAAAGACAAGTAATGGTTCTCCTCTCACTCCTTCGGGTAACTCCTCTACACCTAGGGAATTATGCTCTACGCGAGAAGAAATATGGTTGAAGTTTGATTCAGGTGAACAATATGCTTGTTGGTTAGCTGCATGTCGTCTTGGTTCTAGGGGGAAAACATTGGCAAGTAAGGTAGCCTACAGTAAAGAAGTTGAAGCTACGTTAGAATTACTCAAACTTCAGATGCCTGGACCATCTCCAGCTATGTCACTTTCAGAATCTACAGCCTATTTGGGTGATTTGACAGATTTCTGTAATGAACGTATTATTCGAAAGGCACGTTCTAAAGATACTCTAAGACAACGTATCACTGAAGCTCATGTAAACATTCGTGATCTTGGTTTATTAGAAGCTAAATATAAATATATTCAAACCTGGCAACGACTGACTGAATTCGGTCGAAGTTACTTTATTGTACAGTTTGAACGTGGGTTACTAGGATTGCCAAATACAAATAGTGGAGGGTTATTCAGTACTCCAATGGATGACATTATAGCCATCTGTCAGGGTCGTATTGAGGTTGTTTCTCCACAAACAGGCGAAGTTTTATTAACTTGGAATTTTTCTGATCTACGTTCATGGAATGTTAATTGGGATGCTGAAAAAGTCATTTTAGAGTTTCGCAATTCACAGGTAACATTTCGACCATTGTCGACCAACTGTAAGACAATCGTGGAATTTATTGGTGGGTACGTATTTCTTAGTCAGCGCAATTTAGAAAAAAGTCAAGAAGTTAATGAACGTCTATTTCATCGCTTAACTGGTGCAAATGATTGAGTTCCTGATTTTTTGTTAATATCTAGAAATAACATATGCTGTTGCTTAATTTCAAGTTTGTCACTTTCACACTCACTTTATTGTCGCTTCCAACAAAGGGAAATCCGAAAATATTTTGGTGACTTTTACATTCTCAGTACTATCAGTTCATTTGATTAGACAAGCGCAGGATTGGATTTATATTCTATTTCAAAGACTGCTATTTTCTACATAAATTCTCAAGTAAGCTATTACCTTCATTACTGGCACTGCTAAATGTGAGATTTTTTTATTGCTGCTATCGTCTAATCACCATTATTATCGTTATTGTTATAACTATTATTATTATTATTATTATTATTATTATTATTATTATTCATTTCAAATTCTGATCAATGATTGAAGCTTTTTCTGTGTCCACTTCTCACAGTTGAATTTATTTCGTCTTTTTCTTCTCCAGTTTAACTGTCAGTATTACCACTGTACATTGAACAAAGTACTATGTGGAATTTAAATAATAGTATTAAATTCTAATGATTATATTCCATTGTCTTTCAGAATAAGCTTTGCACTTTTCTGTAATTTTAAATGTTGCCTTATTGATTTTATGAGTATACTATGTTTGTGTTTATATATCCATATGTGTTTTTATGTCTATCGTATTTTAAAGGCGATACCTATGCATGTATATGGATGAATTAATCTATCGTTTAGCAGCCGCCATTTTTAAATTGCTTTCTTTTGCAAGCATTTCTCCATTTGGCTATATGTTGGTCTGTTCGATACAAGTAGTGAAGCAACGTCACTAACACTATCCTACTAAATAGAAAAAGTAATTAATGATTAATTTATTATTAATTTTTCTCATTAACATACTAATGTATTTTTATTTACTTTAAATGGACAAAAATGACTGACTCCTTTTTCTTCAAGCTTTGGAAGTCAGCATATTTTGCTCTTGGATTTTAGTTTATGTTATGGTGGTTTTATGCGATAATCTTGTGTATTTTAATATGGTAATATTGCTATTGATATTCTTACATATATTTGCTATGGTATTCGGATTGTTTTAAAATAAAGTAAGTCCGGAAGATTATACTCAATTTTTTTGTTCTATTATCGTTTCAGTGGAAAATCAGTTCGTCAATGGGTTTCTTAACATATATTTAATTGATTTCGATAACGAAAATGATATTTATCTGTGTTTATGCGGTTGATTTGTGTAGAATTGTTCGGTATGTCATAAAAACATGAATGTCACTTAAGACTTGTAGATTAATGGGAAGATATGAAGTATCCATATTTGTATTTCGAACAAACATGTGGACAAATATTCTTCATAAAGCTTATAGGTTTATCTCTTACCAATAGACCTCTCGTTTTAGCACAGTTGTTATCATGTCCTCTCAAGGCTTTCAATGTTAACATCTGGATGTGTATGATAATTTTTGTAATAGTGCGTAAAACGAAATTAGTTAGTTGTAGACCAACTTTTTAAAAGTCTACTTGGAGATCTTCACAGTTGCATTTTTCATATACTTTGTTGTTCATCTGTCTTTGAATTTTCCTGCTGGACTGAATATGAAAGACGTTGAATATCATGATGATTGTATTCGGTAGGCTCCATCCTATCGTTTTTGGGTTGTTTTGAAGATTTCCAAGAGTTGAACTTTTGTTCCTATGGCTTCCTAGTAATGTAAACTTCATAAGGGCTTCAATAAAGTTCTCTATTCGGTAAATCCATTCACAAAATTTAGCATTTTTAACCTTTCATACAGTTCGTTTTTTCACCATCTATACAGATCGATGACAAAAAATAACAGATCATGTTTTAACCTCCTACAATAGGGAGTAAATGATTTGTCATTATTGATTTTTCCTTCATAATCTAACTCGACCGTTCGACACTGCAGACACTATTTTGGTACAGTCTGTTATCTGTTTATCTGAATAGTTCATTCTAAGGTAAAACTAAGTCATCTATTATCTGTTGATTTTATTCTGTCTTATTTTGATCAGGGTATCCAATGCAAATAACTTATTAATAGTGACTCAGCGTTCATCAGTGATTAGCTTCAAGAATTACCTAAAGTTCTAGTGAAAAACCATGACCTTTGGGGTCAGTTCTGATGGGAACAGGAATGGATGATGGTCGCAACATATTACCAATTGACTAAAATTGATTAGCATGTATTTATTTCAGTTTTATAGCTCAGTGTTAACTTGTTCGTCATGAAGCCCAAAGGTTCTGTGTTCGATACTATATTGGTTTGAGGGTGTATCCTATTGAGATGTCTTGTATTAGGACACGACAATTGTCCAGTGTTTATCAATTCTTGGTGTTTTTCCAATTCATCTCAATACATGAAAACTGGCCTCAGAAACAATTGAATCAGTTTTGACAGTGATAGACAATGGAATAAAAGAAATTTACCTCCTCTTTAGGTAACGTTATCATTTTTTGGTAATAATATTCTAACTCAATATTCTTTCGTGCTAATCGCAATAAGTTATCTAAATGGTTATCAAATTATGGATTTCCTACTCATGATGAACTAAAATATCTATTAAACACGGGTTCAAAAGTTGCACCTACGGTCGTGCTTAAATTTATATTGGAACGATCACTCAAAAAAATACTCCAGTCCATAAAGTATGTCTGAAAATCCACAATATCACTTGCAGGAACTATCTTCTCAATAGGCTTTTAACTATGTAGTCGTATGACATGCCACCTGTCACACTGATTGCAACATCTACTATTATTTGCTAACATTCTGTTAACCTCAAGAAGTTTTATGAGGTGAACGTCTTGTGATTGCTTTTTTACGTTATTCATCTGTTGTGGGAGTTACATTTGAGGATTCACAAGTAAAGCGTGAGGATTAATGCCAATGATCTCTAGAATGGCAAGGATGTGAACTCTATTTTACGCTGCCATACTACAGTTACATCCAAATATCTTCGCACAAATGGAGACTTGTTCAAACTGTGTTTTGGCAACCATTTTTAGTTGTATATTTTATTGGTAGCTAGTGCTAATAATAAGTCAGAATGATAATCAAACTATTCATTTGACTATTTTTCATTCTCCTTCAGTGTTTATTTGGTTGCCTACCTACTCTTATTGTGCCAAGATTTTTGGGTGTTGCCTCTCTCTCTCTCTCTCTCTATATATATATATATAGAGAGAGAGAGAGAGAGAGAGATTTTAAGCGGTATTTGTTACTTTATGGTAGTTGGTAGGATAGACGTATGGCTAGGTCATTGATTTTTCATCTTTAGGCTGTGAATATATGTTTTACGGCCTTCAGATTACTTGATTATCCATAATATTATTTGTTTATTATTTTAGTGTTAACCGTTTGTGTGCGTGCGGCGTGTATTTTGAAGTGTTGTTTTTTAATGTGCATGTATGTGTTATAAGTGAACATAATTACTACGTCTAAAAAGATACACAGTAACAAAAAATTACTCAGCATTTTAAATAAAAAGCTTACTAGTTGAAGAAAGCATTAGAGAAAGATCTTATAGATAGTTGTGTTTATCCTGTCTTTACCTTTTCCAGGTACAATGTTTCTTAACTCTTTCGAGATTTAGAATCAGCACTTCATAGCTCAAGGTTGTTCTAGAATGAAAATCAACGGTCTAATTACAATTATGAAATAGCTCCTAAAATTTCCTGTTATAGTAGACTACTGAATGATTGTCGGATAAATCAATACCTAATTGGAATGTGTGAGACGTTAGATATTTTCTAGGTCAATATTATGAGAAGTAAGACGTTTTCCCTTGAAGATTATTGAAGTGTAAATTTCATTCAATAAGGTATTTCACCTAATAGTTATGGTCCGTTCTCAATGCTTTCACGTAAATCATACATACCTGAGGTAAAATGGTATCGATTAGAACAAAAAACTCGCTTTTATAGTTTTTTAACATTAATGAGTCATAATTCTTTTTTTAATTAGTATTCATTATCTTACGTAGTGAACTAGGCTACTGTTGCGATACTCAGGCCGAAACAGGTATTTTTATCAAGGGATTAATCCCCGAACATTTGACCTAAGGATCTGATTCAAATGGCAGTGGAGCAACAACAGAAGATTCAGTCATTCGTTCCCTCAAGATCCTGGAGCTCATGTTTACGCATAGTTTATAATCAAGGTTTTTCAACCCTTAGGTAAACCCTGTGTGTCCACCAGATTTACAATTTCCATCATCTCATTTCCCTAGAAAAATCCCTACCATGTGAAGGCAATGAGTAGTACTTCTGTGGCAGATGGTGGGAACCCGTCACCGTATAAGAGCATTTTGAAGAGAGCGGACTATTTCTACCCAAATCCGTACTCCAGCATTTGAGGTCAAAATGTAAGTTGGTAATTCAAATAACTCACTAATGGAAACACTTTATAGAGCGTGTTTAGATATTGGTACGGTGTTTCAGCGGTGTTAAGGTTGGTCAAGCCTTATCCGTTGGAACCGAGTGGCTTTTCTGGAAATAATTTTCGTTTCCCAAGGCTCATAAACCCATTGAGGGGTTTGGTTTTGTAGCGTAATTGTTACTTCCAGGTCTTGGTGCGCAGGTATCGCACCAGGGGCAAGTATAGTTTACATAGATATCCGTAACATATAAGTTTTCACCCATGCATCCCTTGGTATACTCATAGGTGCATTTACCATGTGAGCAAATATACGCCACATGCACACCGGTAACATACATGTTTTCACTCATGCATCCCATAGCATACATATAGGTATATTCACCCACCCAGTAGGGTAAATAGTCACCGCTCCCTTCGAATGTATTTGCTACAGCTGACCGTTACTTACATGTTATATGCATATCACTGGTACAAAGGCTTTCTCCACTGCACTTTATGACATACACATGAGCATAAACATATTTTTTTCATTATGTCTTCGACCTGAAGGATTAGGCCGCCGA